CCCCCCCCCTTGGCCTCAAGTATGATATGTACTAAGTATCTTGTATATGATTCCGCCGATCAGCCCAGCCTTCGCCCGATTGGAAAGGTCCTTCATCTTCCCAGCCAAAAGGTCAAAAGCTGTGGTGCCACCTTTGATGGACAGGATCTTTTCAGCAACCTTCGAGAACTCAGATAGTTCAGTCCTGTGCTCGCTCATGAGGGTGACGTCACTGTCCGTGTCCTCGTTCTCTTGGAACATCCACATCACATCTTGCATCGCCCATGTGGCTGCACTGCTCTTGACGAGCCTGGTGCGATTGCTTGGCTCAATAAAAGCTGCTGTGTTCTGGAAGCAGCAGAATTCAGAACAATAATAACTATAGACTATAACAATCAATCAAAGTCAAAGTGCGATCTGGACCAGTGGACCAGTCTCATACCGGATAGCCAATTGGGGGTGCTAATAGAGGATACCAGCAGGCAAACTCCCCAGAATGAACGCCTGTCAGAACCAAGTTGATAATATAAAGCTACATAAAGTATAGTATAGTATAGTAATTACAATTTGTACAATAGTAATAGTACATGATTCTCAATGATCTCAAAATGTCCATCTGAGAGAGACCTAGCCTAGCCCAGTGACCTAACTGTAGCCCCAAGACTTAAACCATAACTATCCGATTTTGTGGGCTTTCACACCGAGAGACTTGTACTTGTTGTTCAGGCGCTCGAGCTGCTCTGAGATCCCGCTGAAATAGTCAACATGTTCTGTCAGCTTCTCCTCAACCTGATGTTGAAACGCTTCGCAAGCTCCGAGCTTCTCAGCGGAAATGTCATTCATCAACGAGCGGTTGATGGAGCTTACCTTGGCATAATGCGGCATGATGCCAATCAAATCCCCGAAGTTTGAGGCGATCTTCATCTGCTCTAGGTCCTTCAAGTCCATGCTCAGGCTGCAGGTGTTGATACAGCTATCCAGGAGGGTGGTTGGCGCATGAATGACAGTCTTTGCCTCTCGAAGGAACTCGTTGACATCAAAGTCTTTTCCAGGCTCCACGCGCTTTTTGATCCAAGCAAGGCCCTTTGCATCAAGGCATGTAGTCAGCCGAAGGAATGCTTCTGGACACTTGATGCTAGTGCCACTCACAAACTCAAAGCGTGACTTTGGACCCTGTTTAGCCAAGCCGAAGCGCTCATTCACCCTTTCCAAGTCAACCCTCAATGTGAGGCCCCGGTGCAGGCGCTGATCGGCTGGGTCTTTCTCAGAGTCAGCTTGTTTAGGATCAAGGCACGCCTCTTGAAAGGTGAGAACTGTCTGGCAAAAGATCACAGTCCCCATCATCAAACACCCAATCTGCTCGTCAAAGAGCTTGGAGATCTCACCTGACGACATTCGGTTCCATACAAGAGTCAGGAGTCCAGGGAAAAAGGTTTAAGAACGCTCAGAGTTCTCTCTAAACTAACACTCTGATCACCTTTGCAAAAACCAAACGATTTGAACATAACATAACACAAACTAGCAACATAACATAGCTCAACATTTAACTGTCTATAGACTTGCCTTGCTTGTTATTGTCTTACTGATACAGTCCAGTCCCACTTATGCTGACTTACTATATTTCGGAGTGTGTTGAGCTGGTTCACTCCGCTTCAGCAGCGACAAGAGGTGCTGTTGCCAAGAAACATCAAAAAACAACAGAACACACTCAAGCAAGGCACGCCAGACATTCAAGCGTTTCTCCCAGTCCAGCATCTCAATGTCGTCCGAGAGCAACTCTGTCTGTTCATCACCATCCGCTGCCCATAGTCCAGCAATCCAAGCCTGAATCTGGTCAAAATCAGACTTGAGGTCGGGCTCCAGGAATGTGGTCAACTCTTGGAATGATGCCTCAAGCTTTGTCCTCGCTGACTCAGCATCTTGTTGCTGGGTGTCATTCAGCTCAGACTCCCCCTTGAGGAGAGAAAGCTCATTGAGCAAGGAAGGCAGATTCTTCCCACAGTTCTTCACCTGGTCAACTGTTGTGACTATTGAGAGGGCCTCCTTGGCATCAGCATGCTGCTTCAAAGAAGTGACCAGGCTCTCCACTGCCGCGACTCGTTCTTTGGAACGGGTGAACAAACGGTCGCTGTCAAGCGCATGCTTTCCCTCAGCCACAACTTTCTGCCAGATTTGCCTCGGGCGAGCTTGAAAAAGACAATAAAACTGGTGTACAACTGTACAAGTTGATTCAATTCTGTGACACTTGTGTGTGTATGTGAAATACATCACACCGTCATGTCAGCTCATCAAACGGTTTGATGCTTGATTTCAGCACTTCCACATGGGAGGTTTCATGCTACATGCAGGCTGCCTGCACAAGTTCAATGAGTCAATAGTCAATCGTTCTTTAGACTTTAGACTCTAGACTGTCTAGATAGACTATTAGACTAATGACTAATACTGATACTGAGCGTTGCTTACCTCAAGACAGGTTTACGTCCTGTGATGTCGCACCTGCAAACCTTTCCGTCACTTTCCGTTGTACGCCGAGTCTACAAACTTTATGATTATGATATGACAGCTGAGTTTGTCACATCAGATATTAATCATATGAATATGAGTACATATACTGTATACCAATATAAGCACAATTAATTGCATAATCATATCAGCATCTCAACACACAAAATTCCAAAATCATATATCAGTTACTGTACCTCCTCAAATAATCTAGATTCAACTCCATCACTCGATTGCCGATTGCCTGACTTAAGCCAAAGAACTTCCACACGGTGCTTTGCCTCAGAGCGAGAGTGATGCGAGAGCTGTAGTCGAAACATGCAGCGGCCTCTTTGAAGTGCACCCTGTGAGAATTGGTCACCTGTTCACCGTCAGCCTCCAATTTCACCAGAATAAGGCAGCACACGACTTTCTGCAAATCAACTAGGACCTGAGAGCTAAATCCTGTGTGGTTCTCAATCTTCTCGTCCTTGCACTCTAGCGAGAGCTCTCCAGGCTTCACTCCAGCCCTGCAGGGCACTGCCTACCGATACCCCATACACCATATCGAATCATAGCCACTGTACCATACTGTCACACTGAATTGTAATTGCACAGTGTGGTACAGGCTACGCGACATGTGTTCTGTGTTCTGGTATCGGTATTGGCATTGGCATACTGTAATTGAAAAACGACACCATCCAAAACTTGGAACGGGTTACATTTATGGTTATGTTACCGTTACTGTATTAAACAAATTACTCAAATTACTATTACATAATAGTCGTAGCGTTCCCTGAAGGTGATGATTCTCTCATTGTTTTTTTTTGCAGGCACCGCATATAAAACGGGTTTTGAAGCAAAAGAGGATACAGGATACTGAAGATGAAAGTCAGTCTGAGTCAGTCTCAAACAATTACAGTTTACAGTTTACAGTTTTCCTCGAGATTTGATCTTTTTTGCACTTGCGCCTCAACCACATGACGTCATTGGCGGCATCCAACGTCTCCAAATGCTGGGCTGCCTTTCTTTGCATCCTTGCAAGAGCAGTGTTTTTGAAGAGCTCGATCCATTGATGGATGATTGTGCACTGGGTCCGGAGAAGCAGGCGGTCCACTGCATCATTGATCATCCATATGTGGGCAAACGTGAACATTCCGCAAGACGAAGAGTCCTGGCCCACGTTGACATACTTGATCAAGGCCTGGCTGCTCTCCTGAAGAAACGTGGGCGCATAGTACATGCGTTGATCCTATAGTTTTTCGTTTCGTTGATAATCTTCACCACTCTCTATTCTGAAGATGTTTTTCATTCCGTTTACTTAATTCCATCACAAGAGTTGATGTGATATCTCAGCAGAATCACACAGACAAAGAAGATCATGAATCACTAATCTTGGAGTATCATTTATCATTGTCATTGCGCCATTACTTACAGTACGTAATACATTCATATTCAGCTCAAACACTGAGACGGAGACTCGGTAACAACAAATTTGCCCAACCTGGCCTCCGACAACTTGACTCCTACATGGAGCAAAAAAGCTGAGAGCGTCTCTGTGTCCATCACCGGGCAAACCTCGATGAGCTTTTGGGTCAATTCCTCATCTTTGAGCAGTGGGAGCACCGTCTTAGGATTCCGGAATTGCCCCAAGGTCTCCTGCACAAGTCCCACCTCAGACACTTTCTTCTCCATCCGGGTTGCCAAACCTTCCATCTCGTTCTTAAGCTCCACAGACTCTACAGCAGAAGCTTGCTGAGACAAACTGGCTGCCATCACTGACACTTTCTTGAGCTTTCCTGAGATTTCAGACTCCTTGAATGATGCCTTCCAGATCGCTACTGGAGTGAATGGAGCCAATGTGCCAAGCATCTTAGTGGCCTCCTCAATTGCCGACCTGCTCTTCTCTGTTCCTTTGCCAGTGGCAGCGGCAGTGTTCCTGCCCGTGCCCTGACTGGGCGGCTGTGGCTTGGTCGGCTTCGTAGTCTTCTCCTTCTCCTTCCTCCTAGAAGTGACCTTTGAGCCATCCCCGCCCAAACCGAACTCGCTTGATGCATCGCTATCCAGGTCCCCCTGATTTTCACCCTTCAACTTGTCCTCCTCATCACTCTCGTCCTCACACCCAACAGCAGCCGCCAACGCCTCCTGCAAGCAAAACGTGTCAGTTGCTTGTAGTCATATGTTTGAGTAAGAGTCATAGTCATAGTCTTGGTATTTTATCATCACATGCGTTCTGTTTCTTCAGTAGCAATAGCAGTGAACACTTATTTATAGTGAGCAATTGATTTATCTTACCGCCGGGCCATGCACCATGTTTGGTGACCAGTGTGCCAGTGTGTGATGTCCTGCCAACACATCTATGAATGACTCTATCACTATGACTATCACTAAAATATAGTAACATAGTATAGATAATCGATATGAATGAATCCGAACCTGAATTCACCCATGTGATGAGTTGTAAAGCTTGTAGACTTCTGAAGTGGTGTGATCGAGGCTTGGCACCGGATGTTTTGTTTGGATTCGGAAGTCTTAAAGGACTCAAACAACTTATATAGATAAAATGAATCGAAGGCTTCCATGTTCAGAATACGATTATCGGGCTAGTACCAATTGTAATGTTGATGCAAATGACGCGGAATGTCACGGAATGAGGTGATAATGCAATAATTGCAATATGATATCACGAGGTGGTGCTGCATTCTGATTCTCATGATTGGGAATGAAGAAGGAATCACATTGTCACATTGTCATTGCCATCTGTCCTTGGAATTGGTGTTGACCTTGAGATTTGCAGCATTCTTTGAATGCTGCGCCGCAAGTTCGTTCTTGTCAACATCCTCCGCGTATTTCATGCTCTTCACTTTCGTAGCGCTAAGTCGCTTGCCCACTCGGATCTCTTTGGTGTCTGCATCACCAGCCTTGCTCACAGCGATGCCGTCTCTGCCTTCGTCATCTCGCTGGATTTCCAAGCCCTTTTTGATGCAGTGTTTCTTGCGAGCATCGTCGTTCTTGAATTTCAAGTCGGGATAATGCTCGTCACAGAATTTCTTTAGGCTTGTCCATGTGACTACCTGTGTTGTGAGTGCAGCAGATCAGGAACAGCAAAAGTCAAAACTTGGAATGAACGCAAAAGAAAAGAACAAACAGAAAGCGGCATTATCATAGTTGGCCAACATTGTTGGGGCCGGATAGAAAGCCAAAGATGCCCTCCGGCTCTCAAACAATGGCTCTTGAAATAAATCAAATCCATTGAGGCTCTAAGGTTCTTTGGACAAAGGTTGTCAAGAACACTTGATATTCATGTAGTATTTAGTGACTCATACTTGGACTCACTCATATGACTTATATGAGTCTATGAGGATAGTCTTACGGCCTGAAACTACGAACTATGGCCCAAAACACAGAACTCATGACTCATCACAAAAAATTGGGTGCAAGTGCAGGAAACAATACACTGTAAAACAACTGTCTTGCGCTATGGCCTATGACGACCTAATAGCCGTTGTTGTTTGTAGAAACATGTGATTTACTGAGGGAATCTTTTGCCAGCAATAGCGGATAGCCTAAATGGCTACAGACTACACAAACATAAACAATTGACAATAATCTGATCCCTTCAAACGAGTTGCTGAGCTGACATCTACGTAGGTCTCGTCTTTCTTCTCCAAGAGGTTTTTCACATCAGGCTTTTCATGCCGATACCTCTTGCCTGGATGGGCGATGTTGAACTGAACTTGGGCTCTCCTCATGCGTCCATACCTAAAGCAGAAGCAACTTCTCCAACATAGACAATCGATCAGTCGAACTCTTTCATTCATTCACTCACCGAAAAAAACAAGGTGACTTTCATAATGCCAGTCCCACTTAGTAGGGCTTGTAGTTTGCAAGGTTTTTTGTTTACCTGGCCCCATGGCGATGGGAGGAAACAAGTCATGGGAGCTGGTGCTGACTCGACATTAATGCAAAAGCAAATGTCAGGATTCAATCCAATGGGCCAATGGGATGAATGAGAAAAGCATAGAAAAGCTAGAAAATATCACATTGTTTATCTAAGCGATATATGATATATTGTATCATATATCATATTGATGTTTAGTAATATCATATCACCACAATGCCGCGCCTTGAAATCGAGATGGGTCTGTATGTACGACCCCGACGACTGACAACAGCTCAGCTGCTTGTCACTGAAGCTCTCGTTATCAGTCAAGGCCGTCACCAAGTCTGAGAGCTTCATGTTGCCCAAACTCCCTCGCTTGAGGTAATAGCAAGAGCGGCAAAGACCAGCACCTGCTTTCACCATCGTCACTGCGCAAACCGTTGGATCACATCCGTCAGGAGCATCCTGGAGGAGGGTTCAATTTGCGACTGGTATGGTATGGCCGTATGGCTCATGACTTATGACTCATAGGTCTCCTGGGCTCCTGGGTATGATTCGTGATTCATGATGGGTGCAGTATGGGTGTGGTCATAGTGTGACAGGTGATGTGTTCCACAACAGGTTGCTTCCATATATTTTTGCCTATGGGGCACCCTCGGGCTGGCTTTAAAGTATGAAGTGTATGATTGGTTGGTTCATACATACATGATTCCATGATTCATTCATGTTTATGATTGTGTATCCTGTCCTTGTCAGCATCTCCGTCTTTTTGCTTACATGCAATGCACACTTCGACTTCGTCTGTCGCCGCCATGGTGACAGAAGACCCCTGTCGCACGTGCGAAGCAATGCACCAGCAAATCCTTGAATCCGTCTGCGGGAAACTTACATTCAAACAGCCAGCGGTAGTGTCACAGTTGTCCTGCGGGAAAGTGTCAGTGTGAGCATGTACGGAGAACCAACTAGTAACTAGGAGTCTAACAGGCTAGGAGCAATGTGATGGTCTGAGACATGTCAACACATCAAATGAATGTGTGACTCGCTATCATACTGCTTGTTTGTTGCAAACACCAGCACTCACCACATGACAACTGAGGCAACTGAGTCTAACTTCTGACTGTCGTGTAGAAAAAACACAAAGTCGGAGAATAATGTGTGTTGGTTGTTTATAAATAACGGCATCCTAAAGCACGTGTGCCTGCCTGTTTCTAGCTCCCGACATCGTCTCTAACACGACCAAATTCTGTAAACACGGCTCAGTAGCAGCTGCATGCTTTTGGGCCTTGAATCTTGAACGGTTTGATTTCTATGGTGGCTCGGCTGGAGTTCAGTCTCAAAATTCTGAGGATGTCCTAATTTGCCTGGCCTCATTGCAGAACTGCATTGGGCTGTACTGTATAAAACCAGAACAAAGAAATAATATGAATATGTTTGCACTGTAACGTACCTGTAACCTGTACTGTACCACAAATCTTCACAAAAGGTCTCAGGCAAAAGGATCTCAGTATAGGTGTAGGCAGCTAGCAGCCTACCAGCACACAGAAGCCAAGCTATCTAATCCTTTCAGTGGCTCGGCTGTGCCTGTGGCTCTGACTCATTGTGAGGCGGAGCACCATCTGGAGAACACACCCACTCATCAGACTCAGCCAGATCACTTTCCGTTTGCCCCAAAATCAAAGTCTTAGCCAGACAAGCAGAAGGAACTGACTTCTGCGAACAGCCAGGCTCATCGGGCACCAACATAAGGCCCTGCGGAGATGGAGCCTGCAGTAGTGGTTTTCCGCTGGGCGTTGGCAGCGCAAAGCACATGATGCCATAGAGGCATGCTGATACCACGCTGGCAGTCATTGCGTTGCCTGAGAGCACAACATGATTAATCAGATCATACGTGACTCTATAGACTCCAGACTCCCGTCATAATCTGTCAATATCATACCATATCATATGAACCATGCATCATGAAACCGAATCATATCATTTGTTGGAGTTCTGCGTGATTCTGCAACGGAGGTATTTATGAAGGAATCTGAAGGAATATCGTCATAGAGTCATATTCCATATCCCATAAATACCCAAACTTTGAAACGTTAAATCCTGGGCTGTGGCTTGAGTCAGTCAGTCTTGTTGTTTTGTTTTGCAAATATGTAATATGTCACCAGAAGACCAAAAGCAAGTGCTGCTACGCTGCTGTCCCCCCCGACCCGCACACACAGTCGCACAAAGACCTGTGAACAGCATATGATGTTGTAGTTGTGTGTGTAATGACGTTGTGTAGTGAAAATGTCTGAACATGTAATGTAATTAATCCAGGTCCATATTATACAAATCGACCGCTAGTCCAATGGATAGTGTCGATTCACTGATTTGTTGTGATGTCACCATACACATACCTCATACAACCCGATTGTGCGGTGTCATAGACACCGACAGGAAACCCCCGTTCAGAAATCCAGTGTGAAAGAATTCGGGGGATTGTCGTGGCACACCTGGGATTTGAACATTTGGTCTGGGTATCATTTGAAACCTCTATGGTAGTCGAGAGTGAAGCAGTTAAGCGTTGAAGATGTTGCCCAAACAAGGCGGGCCGCTCGCCTGCAGCTCTGTTCCAAAATGAGTATGAATAGTCCTGCAGCACAAATCTGGCAGGGTTCATCCCCTGGATGGCCAAAAGCTCCTGGAACAGGCAATAGCAAACATGAACGGGGCCCAATGGGTACCAAGTCGAAAAATGACAAACGCACGCCATGGCATGCTGAATACCCCAGGATGCTGAATACTCTGAATACCTTTTGTCACTGTCAGAAACAGGTTCAAATGCGGGGTCTCGAGGAGATACATCAGAAGGGTTGTCACTACTTCTACTTCTTGCTGCAAATGTTTTCCTAGTTGCGATATCACATCATCATCATAGTCTGTTGATCACAGGACGTCACCCAGTGAAAAAGACTATCAGAAAAGCATTTTTATATGGATTAAACATTGACTTGGATCATGTTATAGTATATTATATTGTTAACCCTAGGGTTAGGATAGATCGGATCCCAGGTGAATGCCAGCAATAATATGAACCAGGGACCAAGACCAAAACTATCCAAAACTCCTTTTTGCACAGGTTGAGAACATTAGGTTTGACTCCTCTGCTGAAAGCAGCCGGCCATGTGCGTAGCTCCAATACTTGTTCTGCGTGGTCACGGTGGAAATTTTGCCATACCGGCTGATTGCTGCACGTCCAAGGCTGCCTTGTAAAGGAGGACATTTGACATTGGTTACTGTTCACAACTGGTGCCTAGGTGTGCATAGGTGTACAATTGGTCTAATAGTATTCGCAGTATTACTCTCTGGTGTTTGTGTTGGGTATCAACTGGTTCATGCTGCCATGTGAAATGGTCCAGTCCTGGTTGAAGAACTTCAAACTTCCAAGTCTTGACCTCCAAATTGAAGACAAGCTGCGAGAGAGATTGACCAGGTACGCTTGCTTCTTTGGCTTGCCCTTGAGCTCCTGAGATCCCAGAACAGTGGAATCGTCCCATCCTCTTCTCAACTGGTCCCAGCAGGACGTTTGTAAAACTATATGCGCAGCTACTCTGATAGATAACAATGGTCAAGCCTTCAGTAAAGTGACATAACATAACTAATATAACTTCAATAACATGTTAATATCTAAAAATATGTGAATTTAGTTGTCATATAATGTGTGAATGCTGGCTATTTAATACGATGTGTGTGGTTTACACAAGATATGAAAACACCAGCTCTACTGCTATGCTGTGTTGCGTTAACAAGTGCTGGTACGGTACGGTATGGTATGGTATGATATGCTATGGTTTGATGTTAAGATATATAATATATATGTATGATATGATGATATGTTTATTGTTCTATGTGCTATGTTATGTTATGTAATGTTTCATTGTATTGTTATGTTATGTTATGTCATGTTTTGTTGAAAGTTAGATATGTTATGTTGTGTTGTGTTAAGTTCTGTTATGTTAACTGAAATGCTGGCAAAAATTGACTTCGCGGAAACGGTCATGACGGTTTGCGACTATATCCTCCCAATACAGGTAGAAACGGTCACAACGGTGTTCGACTGTATTGGATTTGCATGGTTTCCAGAAACGGTTTTAAACGGTTTCAGACGGTTTCAAACTATATGTGTTTTTTTTTGGATTTTTCTGAGGTACAGCCCAAAACGGTCATGACGGTTGCTGACCCTAAGCAATCAAACAGCTAGAAACGGTTGCGACGGTTGTGGCAATACAATGTCCGGCCTAGCATTTTCAACATCATCATAATTTTAATAGAATAGACAGGTAACTACCAAAGTTTAGTAAGCAAATTGAGTTTGGTTAATGTTTGATGATTCATGATTCATGTTTTTCTATCAATGTCATCAATGGTTGGAACACAGAATAGTGAATACCTTCGAAGTGCCCATGCCCATGCCGCCTATGCCTATGCCTAAGCCTATACTGATAGTTTGACACTTCCTCTCCAGCCAAACCAACCCCTGGACCCATCACAATATCCAAGTGTCTTTGATGATTGTCACCCAAGTGATGTCCAGGATTGCTTTCTCCCTTGCCGTCAAAGCCATGGTAAACTTGTCATCAATGCTTCCGGTGTATGGGCAAAGGTCTCCACCTTGCACAACACTGGGTTTGACAGTAAGTAATGAGAATGAGTCATCAGTCATGAGTCATGAGTCAGTTAAACTTAGCGTTGAACAACGAGGGAAAGTCCAACTTAACTCCTCCAGTTCTTTCCTCCATGGTCCATGGTCCATTCCTGCCTTCCATGCCCAACCTCTTGTAGGCATCCCTGATCTCTTTCTGGCTCTTGGGGCCAAGCTTGCGCTCCTGGAAAGAAGTGGAAAGGAAGGGACTTTTTGGTTGGAATCCCAGAACCCTAGAGCCTAGAAACCCTATGAAAATAGCTGCTGCCCATACCCCTGGAACAATACAAAAACAGGCGAGAAATAGCGAGAAACCGTTTCTGACCGTTTGAAACCGTCTCTGGCATGCTTTTGGGTCTAGAAACTATGTTGAACATGCTGGAAACTATATTGAAAATGCTGGAAACTATGATGACCCCTCCCCTTACCACCAACTGCTACAATGCTACCAGCGGGCCCAATATGTCGGAAGCTGGTGGGATCATATGGTACGCTTTACACATAACCAATTCAAGTTCTTCACAAGTCTAGTCCAGTCTAGTGTGGTTCCGGGAAAAGTTGAGCAAGAACAGGACTAGGTCTTCAAACATTGGCGACGAATCGAAGACCTTCACAAAGCCATGTAAAAAGAACATATCATATCGCATAACAAAGCATAACCTATGAACCTATGAATTACGTTTTGGTGTTGGTCATGAGTCATAGGTTATGAGTCATAAAGCTGCCAAATGTAGTAGCACAAACCTGGTGCGGATCTTGTGTAGATATATGAAACTGTAAATAATTCAGTTGGGGGGCTCAGAGTGTTGATGTCTTCAGTATCCATGAATGATCTCATCTTTTATGCAGTTCTACTCGCTCGTTCTACAGTTCAATACACAAACTATGGCAGCGGTTGCAAACACAGACACTTGTTACACACCGGAGCTACAGCTACAGATGGAGGTTGACCAACTTCGCTACAACTTGCAATCCAGACTGCAGCCTACCTGCCAAACAACAGTTGAACTACTATGATTATGGCATATTATGGCCACATCATATTTTATATTTCTGTAACAGATCCAATGCACAGGGGTTCCTTGGCGCCAACAGAAGGATGGGCCACATGCGGCACACGTTGCCCAGCCACAAACTGCACAACATCATCAACTGAAGTTTGCTTGTGCACAGAAGGCAGGAACACTTTCACAAAGTTCATCATCGCATCAAAATCAGCTGGGCTGATCAGATCACAGCGAACTCCCAACACATACAGTCTGAGGCGGCATTGTGGTGATCCAAAGTCCCTGCTCCTGAGATTGGTTTGGCTTCAATGTTCCGTTTGAGTAAAGAGGAGGTGTGTAGGGTGGTAGGGTTGTAGGCGTCGGAACCAAGTACCTAAAGAACTGCGCCCTGTTTGCCATGATGTGACTCTAGAGTTTGGAAGGCCTAGCAACATCTAGCAAAGACTTATGATGTGGTGGAGCTTTCACGTGTTTTGATTCAAAAGATGGTAAGAAGCAGGTCAACCAGTACACCTTCACTTCAACCACTTCACTTCTATTGTTTGTCTATTGTATAAATAAGATTGATGCATGAATCATAATCATAATTATAATCATAAATCATAACATAACACAGCCTCATAGCATTGGCTGTCAGACAGTGTCACACGCATGGCCGTATGGTAGTACGGCTGTTGCATGCTGCATTCCCCTTTTTTCTTACCCTTGATCCCCCCAAAGCAGCAAGCCAAGCCACCGCATGAATGCATGTTGGATGTGGTACTTGGTCTCGATGCGCTTCAAGCCAAAAACTTCGCCCCCTTCTTCACCATAGAGGAGGTAGTCGTACGGAGTCTGGCCGGATGATTAGCTCATGGCCAACCACGAAAATCAAAACCGGTCCAATGGCAGAGGATTGTTACACCCATATATAATATATTCACAGTCGTTGTCTTGGCAATGTAATGGTCCAATTTCTGATGTTTCAATGCTTCGTTATTTGACTACTGAAACCTGAGACTAATGAGTCATGAATGGTTTTCTCTCATATTGACAAATTGACTTGTAAAAATATAGCCCGCCAGGTTTTCTCCACAATTCAGTGCCAAAATGGACAAAACAAAACCAAGACCAAGACCTGTGAATCGTGTGGGCTCTGTGAATGCTACCTGTGTGGCCCGATCTGCGCATGACCCCTTCCCACAAAACAACTGTTTTCGTGCCACTTCTGACTTTTGCCAGATTCTAGGGGTTCAGCAGCTCTTCCAAAATGTTGGCTGCCTCATCTAGTATGAGCTGGTTGGCGCATGATTCATTGACCTGGGACAAGGCGTTGATAGCCTGCTCTTTGCGAGCAGCCGGATCCGCTTGCACAAATGGGATGATGCAGGATGCATGGACATAACGAGAAGGCCGTTTCAAATTCCAGTTGTATGTGAAGCGCACATCACCTTTGGAAATTCCCCTGCTACAGTGGTAGCACTGACTCCTGCCAGTGGGTGCGATGGAAGCATCTCCAAACCCAATTGATTTGCTGAAGAATGCACCGGAACCAAGGGCTTTCTCTGCAAGCTCTGCCTTTCTCTCACAATCTTCCTGGTACTCTTTCGTGACAGTATTGACTTCCTTTGCCTCATCTCTGGCTGCATTTGTTGGTGGGACAGGGTCTGAAGCTTCAGCTTCTGCATCACCACTGTCCAGATCCTGGTCACACAAAGCTGCGAAGGCATCAGCCTGAGAGGCTTCAGGCTTTGGATCTGGTTGACAGGAAGCTGGGGAAGCGGAAGTGTTAGAATCTGAATTTGCATCAGAATCACAACTGTCAGATCCATGGGCAAGAAAAATGTGCGGCTTTCTCCCACCGGTTTGCTTCTTGTGTTGCTTGCTTTTTGCTTTTGGCCTCTGTTTTCTTTTCTTGGACTCCACTTGCAAATTGAAGGGAAGAGAAACATTGGCTCTTCGACCCCTAGCACTGGATTGCTGCTTCGCATGTCCAATTCTGAGAGCAATATTGATTGGTGAGCCAGTTGTCACCACGTTGAGTTGGTGCAGGCCCCAAAGCTTGGAGTCCAGATGGCTTTTGAAAATCAAAACTGTCATGCTCTTCACATCTCCATTGCGCGCAGCAATCATGTTGTAGAAGACCTTGTGGGTTGTTGTGAAAACTGGCAAACCACTAGCATCTCTCACCAAAGAGAAATGGCCCTCCCTCTGCTCCAAAGGCCAGGCATGGGCTACAACGTGTGCCAAAGGCTTCTTGTTCAAAACGCCAAGGAAGACAACATCATCTGGCTGCAGGGATGGCGGGCTGTTGGGAAAACAATCAAAACTGATCTTCACCAACGTTCCAGCAGAGAGCTTTTGCTCAGTAACCATGTTTGCAAAGCTTTTGACAAAGGCGTGAACCACATCATGGTGTGGCTGCTGCTTGCAATAGCCGAACAACTGCAAACATGTTTTGCCGTGAGCTGCAAGATCTGCATGAGGCGGTACAGGAAACTGGTTCAGCAACTCATCATCAGGTTTCCTGTGCAGAGAATAATCCACTGCAAAGTCCACAGCTCCTACGGTTACATCGAGATTGATTGATTCCTTCTTCACAGCACCATCCGCATCTTGCAAACCCAGGCTGTAGGTTGACCATGCGCTGTGAGCATTCTTTTGGCAGCTGTTGATACAAAGTCGCTTTGCTGAAATTTTCTTCAAGTACTTCTTGCCTGAGCACCAGAGCTGATTAAGACCTCCTGCTATTTGTTCATAAGTTATGAAATGAATCATGTATGATACTGTACTATTTGGGTTTGTTGGTAAGGTATGCGTATCCGTATCCCTGAGCTATACGATAATTATATGGTCATTAGTCATTACCAGTCCGTTTGATTTTCCTGTTTGAAGGGGGCGCCAATTGAAGGAGTGACGTTGGTCGTCTCGTATGTTTCAAGCTTAAATCCTTAAAGCAATTAAAACCTGAAACACGGAAGAAACTAGCAAGGGTTGTTGAGTTTCTGAAGGCTCCCAGTCAGATGCAACAATAATATTGGATGGCAATATTTGTTACCAAAGCATACCATCATCTAAAAATATAATCATATATCATATAATAGTCTTGTCAGACTTCAGACGTGAAACAGAATCACAGTGAATTGAATGAACAAGTAATAGCTGTACTGTACTGTTGCAGGCCAGGTGACAATCCCCATCATTGAATCGTTGATCAATATTGACATATTGATCATATGCAGTCATATGCATCATATAGTTATTATACACAACAAAAGTTTAAACGCATTTACATAGCTGTGACGCTGTGTGAATACATCTGAACAGAGCCTGAGTCACCGGAAATCGCTTCCAAGACATGTGTTGGCTGGTCTTTGGCGGCTCTTGCATCAGCCTGGTTCTCAGGTTGATTGGCCTTGTTTGGGCCAGGAGCCAACGCTCGTTGGGCTAGCTCCTCTCGGCAGGACTGCTCGTAAGCCGCATCCACTTGATACTGTGATCGGTCTTCTGGAGTCATGGTTGCCCACTCCCTCCCAATTTGCTTCATAGCCTTTTTAAACTCTTCTTTCTCAAGGGAGCCACCAGAACTCATGGCCTGCAATCGATGACGTTGGAAAACGTTCCAAGGTGATATGCGTCTCCGTTTTTTTTTCTGGTTGAATGAATGACGCGGCACTTGCGTCCCATGGAAGGCTGCTTTCCGTTTTGTCTTCCCAACTGCTTTTGCATGCTCCAAAACCAATGACTTCAAATGCGCATGCTCCTGAACCAGCGAAGACAGAATGGAGCATTCGCTTGCGGCAGCAGGAGCTTTGGTCTTGCCTCTGAATGTGAAGAGCGAAGCCTGATGTTGAGCGTGGGAGTTCTCCACCAAATTTGTTGCCAAGGGGCAGAAGGTCGCAATATCGTTGAAGAAGCCCTGCAACCTCATGGCGGGCCACATTGTGAAGAGAACCCATGTCCCGGTTCCCAAGGAATTACCTTTGATGAACCACCATGAAAAAGTGAATCAACTGATTTGGACAACTGGCTCAGTGGTCAGCGGCTCAACTGCTAAAACTCTAAGACCAGAACAGCCATGGGCCATGCCGATGCCACAGAAAACTCTGAAACTGTGAGTCTTATTATTCAAATTGCCCGCCAATCTCACAACACTGCATCCCATCCGAAACGGGGAAAACAGAAGACCTGATACACTATCAGAATGTTGAGATATGATTCATTATTATGATTCTGCAACTTGAGCCGTAGTCCGTAATTAGTCGTGATCGTAATAACTACTAGGGACTAATTTGAACGAAACACTGAATACTACCACCCAGCCAATACTCTCACCAGAGTCCAGAACACACAAATAAAAGGACCGGATAACCCCACATGATAAGTTTTACAAATTTCAATTGTATATGAACATCACATGGGAGACGGAGTAGTGAGATGAAAAGTCAAGAACGAAGTGTGAGGAGAGAAGGTATATGAGGCGGTTGTGCTAAGACGTGTAGTATAAGTGATGATGTGATGGACGAGGATGAGAAGGAGGGGAGGGAGGAGGTGTGTGTGATGAGAGGGACGAGAGAGAGAGAGAAGGAGGCGGAGAGAGAAGTTTGGAGGCTCTGGATTTTGCGATCAGATCCGCATGAGACCTTCAAAACGTAACACACTCGAAACGACCATCAAAGCTATCAAGTGGTCTTATCCCGACCACGGCGGGCAG